TAAAAAATCCTTATTAATGAAAATTTATATATGTGATCGACTATGTTTGTAAATCATATGATGTGGGACACCCCAATAAATTAATCAAAAACATGTTAATAAATAAATCAGTAAAATGTAGTAAATCAATTAAAAACCACCATGTTAAAAAATCATATTAAACATCATTCTTACATTTATCAAATCAAAGGTTTGTTAAGACTCTTGTATCAACTATAGATTTAGAGATGTAGTATTCTTGTAGAGCCATTGGACTAACTGATTTTTAACCGGTGTAATATTTTTTTTACTTGTAATAATGTGAATATACATCAAATAAAGTTGTATTTTACCATAATTTTGAGTTTTATTTTTCGAACTTTATTTGATATATATATATATATTAAAAAATAGATATAATTTGTACTACCACTTAGAACGTTGTTGATATAGACATGTTAGATCTCGAAGTCAAACTTCCAATATTAGTCGAAATAGGTAAACAGTTGATTCTATCCTTAATCTGAACAAAGTTATTGATCATTTTTTCTACATAGCACTTTACTATCAATGAACTTTTCAAGAAATTTTCTATGACTTGATGATCCGAAACTCTCAAGGGGATTGAATATTCACAGATCGATAAAAAGAATTATTAAAAATATCAATCCCAAAAACTAACATGCGATTACATATAACTTGAATCCCTATGAATGGAATTTGAAGGATCTCTCTGATTAGGCGCTTCAATTCATCACACTCAACATCTTTCCCTTGAATAATTTGTTAAAGCAAGCATCAATTCCATCCTTGCATAGATGATTTATTTTTTCCAATCATCTCCCTTCTTGTTTGCTCGAGGGTCTAATTGAGAAATCTCGGTAAAAGAGAGCTCCCACTTAACTGAATCCAACATTAGGAGAACCTTTATGTCTGATCTATCCCCAGAATAGATAGAATGCATCGCTACTTTTTGTTTTTGAGACGAATCGGACACTTTCTCCCTAAAAATACGAAATTCTCAGTTATTATATCATTATAAAGAATATAAAGCATTCAAAATATTATACCATGCATGTTTGAGATTCCACTTATAATAATTAAATATAGGATCTATAGCCCTGGAGACTGCATGGATTGCATAAGCGCTCTCGCTATATTGACTTTCACCTAATAACGGTCTCAAACTCCAACAATTCCTCCTATAAAATTAATTGGTGAATAGTTTTAATTGGGCAAAGAAATAGAATCAATTGTATTATTCTACTCATAGTCCTTCTAACAAGTCATAAATCATAAGTAAAATCCCTGCATGTGCTCAAATTTCTTTCATCCCGCAGATAAGTAATAGGGGTGGCAAGGGCAGGATCAAATTCGGGTCCTAATAAGCTATAATCATCGATAAATAGCACCAGTTTTCTCTGAAAAATCCAGCTTACTCAATTCAACTTCTTTAAGAATGTGTTTTGTCTCTTCTGACAACTCATCTACCACCTTATCCACTTCTTCTGCGATATCCACGATTCCAGATGCTATCAGATTGTTGGAATCAATAGAAGCCAAATCTAGCCTTTCTAAGCATCCATGAACATCATTTAACACTCCTTCAATTTCCATAGAGTGACCGCTATTTACTTATCAATCTGATGAAGAATTCAACATTAGCCCTTTTAAAAATAATGATAACTTCTATAATATCTTATTCTGAATAATTTGTAAGACCACCTACACAATTATTAACTATTTCAGCAATATTTCTTTGGACAATTTCTTGATTCTGTCATTTTTCTTGTCCTCCGTGCTAATTCAAGAGTATTTTTGATTAGTCTGATAAGCTGGGCTTTTTCCAAAAAAATTAAATGTAGTAGTCACCTGACTTTTTTCTGTCTGGTATGCTTCGCTAAACATTTGTTGTCGTTTATCCTGTAAAAAGTAAAAGATACTATAATATTTTGATAAATATATCATAGTGTTTTTCGAAAATCAGAACAGTTAAAACATCTTCATGATCCAATAGTAACTATTTTTAGCGAGTTAGCATGCTGACGGATGATGACAAGATATATGGAGGCATTGTCTGTATCAAACCTAGCAAAATTCCTGGACAATGCAACTCATGCACCTGAACCCTTTGATGTCCACAGAGCTAGCTTTCTGCAGAGCTAAGGTGTACACATAATTGTTGTGTATGTCCAGATTCAGGGCATGAACATAGGCCTATGTTGTCTTTCCTCACACCATTACAAATAAAGAAACATCATCTTAAGTGTTCAAGATAGTGTGCGTGCCTTCAATGTCTGTAAATTTCCGATAATCAAACATTGCATATCAAATTGTTTCTTTTTCAACAGTCAATGCTGCCTTGACATCTTGTAATTATAATAATATAGTATTAGTATTATTATTATTATTACGCAAAGCAAAGTATTATCAATAAAAAACTTGCAATTACCCAGCAAGGTCTGTTCCGTGTTTTAAAATAAAATACATATCAATACAAAATTAAAAAAAAGTACCTCTAGTTAGTTATTAACACGTTTCTTTAGGATACCCAAACCAAACCAAACAACAGCACTCATGTTTTGTCACCCTGTACTCTGTCAAAAAATAAATTGTTTTTTGCTTTTTCCAAAAAAAAAAATCAATTCGCATTTGTCCTCCCAATAGGATAAATAATTAGTGTGTACACGTTGATCAAATCACAAACTTTTTTTTTAAAAAATTTTTTTAAAAATGTCATCAGGAAATAATAGAAGAAGTCAAGAAAATAGCTGAGGCACTTGTGAGTAAGTGTTTTAAGAATGGTGACAGCTATTGCCTGCCACTCGTCATTATATTTAAATGGAATCCTTGATGATGTTCCTAAACAAAGCATATCAATTTTTCTGATGATACTTGAAAATATAGAGGTATCTGATCAGGATTCACTTGATATACTACTAAATGAATATGTATGCAAAATCCCAAATGATAAGAAACAGCTAGAATTTAAGATTGGATCAGGTATGTGTCTAAAAATTTGTATATAGCATAATCCTTGTTTCAACAGGATAGCCAGTGATATGAGAGAATTTTTATTTAAAATCTGTCATACCAAAATTACTAAACGCATCTCAGTGGATTTTATATATTTTTATATGTGAAGCAAAATTTTTAAAAATACATTATGATGCAAATTTAATTATAATCCATTGAAACAAGGGTCATGCTGTATGTTATCATTTCATTTAATTTTTTTAGTGCAAAACCATTTAATTTTTTCAATTCATAAAATTCCAGCACAAAAGGAATTTTCAAGTTACCTAAATTTTGAAAAAGTAGCTAAACTATATGATATAAAAGCATCAACTATACAAGAACTTCCACAATTTGTTCCTGGTATTAAAAGGCATTTGTATTTATGATCAAATTATAGTTTTCAACATCAGGAAATTAATTTAGCATAAACTTGCATAAATCTTATGATGCTGATGTAATATTGCATAAATCTTACAGTGCCAACGTAAGTTTTACACTTTTTTATTATTAAACTTATGATTGACATGTGCAAATTTTTTTTATATTTTCTGGATGAAGTACTAATAATTTCATTTTTCTATTGCAATATTAGGGAATCAATCATTGTATTTCCGATTTAGAAGCAAGAAACATTTAATTGTTATTATTTAGCCATAAAAATCTAGTAATCTTACCTATATTTTTTTTGTATACATGTTTTAAATATAAGTTGAAGTTTCAACCAAGTTAGAGTTTCTATTTGTAATTTGCTTTATTTGCTTTATTTGTTTATTTGTTTATTATTATTATTATTCATTTTATTCGAATAAATTTTGATATAATTTGAAGATAAAATCCATAATGAATAAAACAAATAATTTGAATAAGCCTTATTTGAAATAGAAACCTAATACAAGTTCCATATAAAAAAGGGGTTTCAGATTTTGGCAGAGGGTTTCAGGTTTGGCCATATCCTTTAGAGGCTTCGGTTGCAATCATCATTAAGTTGGTTGAATATCTAATGAAAATTTTTTATTGTTATTTGCATTTTTACCAGCAATAATTTATTTTATGTTATTGTATATAAAGTAATTAAACTATATATAACTAATGAAAAATATATGAAAATATATATATAAAGAAATACAATAATAATCTAGCATTATATTTATTATTATTTTTTATCAATTATTTGAAAAACTTCCAATTCATCAAATCTACAACCATTTGTTATATTGATGTTGCTATAATTTGTTGGATTACTACGAACACTACCATCTATATTAAATATAACATCATTACCACAACCAAAAATTGGTAAATAAGAAGGATCACAATAAATTGTATTATTATTATTGATAGCATAACTAAATTGAGCAGTATTTATATTATTTCTATTACTTATATTAAATATAAAACTTTCAGTTGTATTTTTCCATGCACCACCTCCATTCCAATTCAGTGGATTATAACCACCAACTATTTGCTCTGAGTTTTGTATTCTGCCAACCACAAGAGTTTTGTTGATATTATCACATTTTTGATGGAATGTGGCAGCATTTAAACCATCTCTGCTACTGCGATATAGAAGTTTGAATTCATATTTGACTTCTTTGAATGAATCATATGGTGGACTTTTTCTATCAATCCAACTTGCAAAAAGCAAAGTAAGCTTTTTATTGATTGTCAATGATCCCAATTTAAAATTTCTTGATGGTAATAAATTTAATGTTTGTTGTCTATCAGGAAATAAATAAGATTGTGAAATGGATCTCCATAAAGTCCTAGGAAAAAGCGTGTCATATGGTTCAATTTTATCAAAAAAATCCTCTTTAGAGATATCCCGAAATCTTATTAGAGAAAGGAATTCTTTCAATGTGTTACCTAAATCAACAAAATTTTGTAATGGCCAATCTTCAACATTGATATTATTGATTTCGGGATGTTTTGCCAATCCCCATTTAAGAATGCTTTCCCAAATAACTATCTCATCAACAGAAAAATCTTCTCTTTTGAGAATTTCCAACAGAGTTGGTTTTTCTAATGATTCAAATTCATCTGATTCAAATAAATTTTCACTATATTTACAAAACTTTTCTAAATAAATATTTTTCAATTCCTTAAAATTTTCATTAGTATAAATCAATTGTAGAATTTTAACAGGATTTTCTTTTATATAATCTTCATAGTTTTCAATAAAGTATTTCATTATATCTTCATAAAGTGATTCAATGCCAAGTTCATCTCCCACAGTTAATAGTTCTAATATTTCAGCACCAGAATAATTTTCAATTTCAATTTTACATGTATATAAAAATCTTTTACAAAATAAATTAATTATTAAACAAGTTATTATATTATATATTCAATAACAATAAATAAATAAATTATTTAATAGTAAATTATTTAAACTTACTTGAGAATAGGTTTGAAAAGTTTTTCATTGATATTAACTTTCTTAATGATATAATAGCCATTTTCTTTTGTTGCATCATTTAATTTATTGTTAAAAAATGAACAATGAGCTGATATGATAGATGCATGTGCATGAAATTCTTTGATGTTTGGTTCTACACCAACGTATATTTTTACGTCATAAAAATTTTCAGTGTTTAGCAATCTCTCATTTTCATTGAAATATTTTTCAAATGTTGAATTCATTTTTAAGATTTAAAAAAAAAAATGAATGACCAATCACATGTTACAATTAAATCATAAAAAGGAAAATTATTTTATCTGTTCAACATTCATTTAGGGTAATCCTTTGAATTGGTTTTAAATTTAAAATTGACAAAACATCCCACTTTAATTGTAAATCTTGTTTCAGTAGGTGAAATAAAGTCACATACACATTATGGGCTAAATGCAAGAAAATGGAGAATAAAAGTGAGATACCTATTGAAGTCTTTGAAGTGTTGTTGCGAATTATTTTTTTTAATTGTTATGATTTCCATTATAATTATATTTTATTAGGTTTGGTTGGGTTGGGTGTGGTTAAAAGTAATGTAGTATCAGTTAAAATTATATTATACAAATAGTAATCATTATGAGTCATGACCCAAGACCAACCTAATCGTTACCAAAAATATAAAAAATATTTTCAAATCTATCATCAGAACCATCGACCACCGCGGAAATTTCCTTACTGTGTAGTGTGCGATCGTAATTTAGTAAATTATAATTAACATCATGCTTTATTAATTACATATATCTATAATGAGCAGTTTTTGAATAATATAATTAGAAATCATTAATTATTTAAAATGTATTAATTTGGAGTATGGATATATTCCATTGATTTATAATGGTTAATAATGATTTATTTTTTAATTAAATTTTTCTTTTCCAAGAAAAATAAATGATCTGGTATACAATGAGAAAGAAATGTCACACGGCCATTATTTTATTTAACCCATAATCCCAAGCTGATTTTAAAGTTGCGTTTGATCATTGAAAGTTGAGGACATAATGTTTTATTATGCATATATAGGATATTGCATTTTGTTAATGGGACATAAAGTTATATGATGAAAATTTTTTTATGTAATGATGTCAGCGGAATTTTTAGTGGCTGATAAATTTTTTTTCTTGTCAACCATAGTAAATAATAATAGTAGTATTAGTAGTAATAATAGTGAACCATTAGGTAGAAATAATTTAAAGGAGTGGGATTATAATTATTCCCGTGACCGATCACACGATTCTGGGCACATTTGAAGTCATATTCACCATCTTGGGTCTAGATCTTGTTCCTTCATATATAATTCTAAACTTCCATTCATCAAAATTGTTATATATATTTTTACTATCACCCACCGAAAAAATAATTCAAAGTATATTGTTATAATATAACATTTATAATTCCGAAAAATATAGTATAAAAATAGACCAGATGACGGTAGCAGAAATCATTGATTTGTATAATTATGCGTCACTCAGATGATTCCGAATTCCAAGTTGGTGTATGATCGGGTAGTTTCTATGAGTGATGCATCAGTAAAACTTTTACTTTGTTCAAAACTCAGACTGGTTATATGAGTGTAATACACTTGGAATGTTTTTATCCGAGAGTTTAGAATAATATGCAATTTTGAGACTTTTTAGACTTGAACTATGGGGCTGTTGTTTGTTTTTACATGCTAATTCTAAAAATTCTTCCAAAAGAGTAATATTCTTACAGGAGGGAAATATTTCATAATTGTAACCTGATGCTCTATCGCCTACAAACTCAAGGTGTGTAACTTCTTCATTACTTGTATTAATCCTATTTTCTTTTCTTTCAGATGAGATTTTGATGGATTATATCTATAATAAAATACACTCAAAGTGAAAAAAAATAATTTAAAAGAAGTTGAAATCAGATGCCTTGGGAAAAGGTATGGATATATTTGGAATTACACTTTCTACGAAAGATACATAATACACATGATAGAAGTTGCTATTTTTAATTTACCGGAACTATTAGAACTAATTCTATATTTTCTAGCAAAAGATCAATCACTCTATCCTGCTCTATTTGTTAATCGGTTTTGGTATTATATCGCTGGAAAAATATTATTGAAATATAATGATTCGAATTTTCAGGATTCTTTTATTTCTGCATTTAATCATTTTCTCAGAGAAATTGGCGAGTCTATCCCTAATCATTCATCGTGGATTATGAATAACATTACTCCGTAGTAGAGAATGAGTAATTAATAATTAGTTATTTTTTTTTTCGGCTAGAAGATAATTTATATCACAAGATGATATATGTAAAATGTAAAATCCATAAAGAGGATCGTGAACCCTATAAAAATTTGTCTCCAAAAAAAATTAACTGGTGACGAAAGTGGTGACATTCTTATTATACTTTGAGAATGAAAGGAACCGTCTCGACCAGTGTCACCAGTGTCACTAGAAAATTTCTCGAAGTTATACTCTTTATTTTGTTTTATTTTTTACACACACATATATACCATATATCATATACATGGGAAAGTTTCGATTTTTTTTTTGCTAGATTTTATCATTCTATTAGTGACATTAGTGTATATAAAAGTAATCAAGAAAATAAAGAAACAATTTAAAAATCTCAATGAGGTGTCACCAGTTAAATTTTTAATCTAGTGACAACTGGTGACAAAAAGTATAAAAAACGCAGATGGCTACTCATTTTTATAGTATGAATTCATGGTATCCAAGTGTGGAATTATGTATATATGTATATATAACGCAGATGCCTACCCCGTTACATGGATTTTTTCCGCATAGTATTATCACGTGGATGTGAGTATCTAATCAGGGGTAGTTAATAAACTTTGGTATATAGGTGAAGTTAAGTGCAGAAATATATATATAGAAAAAAAACGAAGTTATATACCCTACCCAGTTAAGGCGTTAATTGATACATCATCATTTGAAAATG